GGTGATAGGATGTATTTGAATGCAGACGGGTTACCTGGGGTTAGATATCAGATGTTAGGCAGGTTATAATGTGCCATAAATCCAGTGTCTATATTTAGTCCATGATTTTTTGTATCCAGGAGATTAATGAAGTGAAGTTCGGAGGCTCATCTATGAAAGGTGTTTTGTAAATTCCCTTTGAGGATTAGAACTGAGAGATTGGAGAGAGCATGTTTGTTTTTTAGAAGTGTGACCCCACAGGTAATTGGGTATTCTTGTCTCTGATAGATCTCCAGTGTGCATTCATTCTGGTGCACAGTTGTTGTTTGGTTTCTCCTACATATTTTCCATCAGGGCATTTAGTGCACTGGATGAGATATTACATTTCTGGAGGTGCAGGTGTAAGATCTAGGAATGACGATGGTGGTGTGGTGTGGTGTGGTGTGGTGTGGTGTGGTGTGGTGTGGTGTGGTGTGGTGTGGCGTGGCAGGTTTTACATTTTTTGTCCTGGTGTGGTCTGGATCCATTCGGTGTGTTTTGGGTCATAGAAAGTTTGCTTCCAGTGATGAGGTCCGGTGCTTGTTTAAAGACTAGGATGGGTGGTTCTGGGAAGATCTCTTTAAGAATTGGGTCTTCTTCTAGCATGGGTTGTGATCGTTTGAAGGTCTTCCGTATAGGTTCCAGGGAAGAATGGTATGTCATAACTAGTGGTGTGCAATTCGTAGGGGTTTTCTTTTTGTACTGCAGCAATTCTTCATGTGTTATCTAGGTGGCTCTTTCAAAAGTATGATCTATATCTCTGGAGGAGTGTCCTTGTTGGGTGAAAGCCCTCATGAGATTTGCAAGGTGACAATCGTGGGTATTCTCCTCTGTGCAAATTCAGTGGTATCAGAGGCCTTGGCTGTATATTACAGCTTTCTTGGTGTATTTAAGATGATTGCCAGTTCTGTGTGTATGTTGGTCCGTGGGTTTCTTGTATATGGTTGTTTGCATTTTACCATTCTGCATAGTGATCATAGTGTCTAAAAAGGAAATGTTGGTGCTGGAGTATTCAAGAGAGAGTCTGATGAAGGGGTGATGGTTATTGAATTTGTGATGTAAAATCAATCAGAGACTGCAGGTTTTTGGTCCAAATGATGAAAATGTCATCTATGTATCTTAGGTATAGCATGGGTTTGATGCTGCAGTTCTTGAGGAATTCTTCTTCCAGGTGGGCCATAAGAAGTTTGGTATATTGGGGGCCATTTTGGTGCCCATAGCTGTGCCCATGGTCTGGAGGAAGTGTTGGTTATTGAAACTAAAGTTGTTGTGTATGAGGAAGAAGTGTAAAAGTTCAGTAATATCTTTAAGCAAGTACTCTGAGTTGTAATCTTGCTCTTGTAGATCGGTAAGGCAGGCTTGGATGCTATCCTGGTGTGGGGTGCTGGTAAATAAGCTGGTAACCTCCATGGTGGCTAGCAGGGTATTGGTGGGAAGGTGCTCTATTTTTTAAGTTTTCGTAGAAAATCTGTTGTCTTGGACAAAACTTGGTCTTTGGGTGACAACAGGTTTTAAGATGAATCGATGAAACCTGATATTGCCTCAGTTACAGTTCCATGGTTGGATATGATAGATCTGCCTGGGTTTCCTTGTTTGTGGAGTTTAGGGAGCATGTTAAAAGTCCCTAGATAAGGTAATGGGGGATCAAGTGTTTTAGTTTTTTCTTGTAGTTCAGATGGAAATGATGTGATTGTGGTTTTGAGTTTTAAAGTGAAAAAGGGGGTTGGATCTTCCTTTAGTTTTTCACTGTAGGTGGTGTCAATGATTTATCTGTTGGCTTCTTTTACGTAGTCTTCGTGGTTAAGGAGAACTATAGCTCCTGCCTTATATACTGGTTTTGTTACTGTTTGGTAGTTGGATCTTAGAAGTGCTATGGCCCTTCTCTCTGGGAGGGAGAGGTTGTTATAGTGGTGTTTGCTGTTGATTATTTCGTTGTTCATTCTTTCCCTGAAGCAGTCAATATAGCAGTCAAGGTTTGAATTTCATCCATCGTGAGGTGTCCAATCTGATGGGGTTTGGGATTTTTTGGTGTTAATCTTTTCCTCAATGTTGTCACAGAATGAAGTATTGTTGAAAGTGGATTGTATTATCTTATCAGGGTATTTTTCCAGCCAGAAATTAAGGCCTTTAGAGAGGACAAATTTTTCAGCTTTGGTAACAGAGAGAGAGAGAGAGAAAGTGTGTGTGTGTGGGTGTGCGTGTGTGTGCGGGTGCGTGCATGTGTGTGTGTGTAGAGATTGATAATATTTGAGGGTTGACTGGTTCCTTCAGTTCCATCGGGTATGAGGTCAGGATGTTGTACGGTATTGGTGTTGTTTCTCCGATGGTTGTTTAGTGACTGGGAAAGTTCTTCCTATAGTAATTGATTCCATTTCTTCTTTTTATGTTAGATGGATATTATAAAGACTCTTCCGTAGTCTTTTTGTATATGTCGTATTATGTTTGGGAAGATATCCAGATTTCTCTTTTAAGTTGTTGTAGCACATGTTGATTTCTTTCTTGAGTTGATCTCTTTTGGAGTAAGTTATGTGAAGGAGATGATTTCTAAGTTTTTCTGAAGTTCTCCTGCATAGTTGTAAAGCATATTTGAAGTTGTGTTCAGTAGTCAGAAGATTGTAGATGTTCACTCCTCTGGGAATTATGTTGTGTTTCTTGCATAGGCTTTGAAAATATATGTTGCTGTTGAGTTTGTCTTCTTTCTTCTTCATATTGTGAAGTTTCCATTAAAGGTTCTCCATCTGATTCCATAGTATACACTATGCTGGACACCAGTTGCAAGCAAATCCTGGTTATGAAGTTGGCACATCCGGCAAAGGGAGGGCCTAGGATGATGCTAGCATCCTCTTGCTGTGCCAGTCCCTATACTGCAGCAGTTCCCAGCCCCATTATTAGGACCCAGTAGAGCATCCCTCAAGTGGTGGCAGCAGCTGGGTCCCAGCACCAGGACACCTTGCACCTGAACTGCATCATTCCAACCTGCTGCTACTGTAAAAAAAAAAGACATTGCCAACTGCTGCCTTAGACTGCTCTAATTTTTGGTTGGGCTGAATCAGGGCAGGCTGGGGAAATCAGACTGGCACACAGTGGGCGCGTCCACACACGCAAGCATGTGCGCTTGCAGCAGCTCAGATAGAAGCAGTGTAAATTTGAGCCAGGGCTTTTTGCTTCAGTGCACGTGCTCGGACATGCACTTTGTTGTGCAGCAAATTGTGCCACTTGGGGCAAAATAACCCTGCCTGGCTCCTCCCAGTTCTTCATCCAGGGGGAGCTAGAGCCTGGGGCCAGCACCTGTGCTGTCCCCAGCAGTATAAAAAGCCGCCCTGGCAAGTAGCTCAGGGCTATTAGCTCTCAGGAGCTTCTGGGACCCAGCCAATTGGTCCCTGGGGACACTACCCCTTGTGCCAGCTGGACTGCTGAAGCAGCCCTGAGAGTTCCCTGCACCCTCTACCCGCTGCAGCCATCTGGCAGTGGGGGCTGCTGCCTGGCTGTGACGTGCTGCGCACCTGCCAGACTCGGATGGGAACTGCAGAGCCAGTAGAGGCATCTGCCCCTGTGGGCCAGCTGCCAGTGGACTGCGGTTGCCTTTGTGAGGCACTACTGCCATTTGTGCACCCTGCCCAGCCATCTGGGCAGCTATCGCCCGGAAGATGCTCCGGCTGTAGTGGCCTGCTTTGAACTGTCAAAGCATGTCCTCCTGGTCCCATTTGGCCAGAAGGTCAGCCCCAGCCAGATGGGTCCAAGGTGCCAGCTCTGAGCAAGCAGGGTCCTGCCACTGGCCTCCCTAGCAGGAATTCTGGTGTTCCCTATTGGAAAACTGAAA